ATTGCAATACATCATCTGATGTCTGGACTACTACTTCCATTGGTCTTGATTGTGGAACCAAGTAGTATGAAATCTTTGACAACTTCAATCTTTTCTGCATTTATTGTGATGCTTCTTATTAGTCCAGTTGTGAGAATTTTTGTTTTCTTTATATTGAGATGTAATCTGTACTGCAGACTGCAGTTTTCAATCTTCATCAGTAAGTGCTTCAAGTCATCCTCACTTTCAGTGAGCAAATTGTGTCATCAGTGTTATCACACGTTGCTAATGAGTCTTCCTCCAATCTTGATGCCATGTTCTTCTTCATATAATCCAGCTTCTCAGGTTAATTGCTTAGCATACAAGTTGAATAAGTATGGTGAAAGGATACAACCTTGACACACTCCCTTCTTGATTTTAAACCATGCTGTATCCCCTTGTTCTGTTTGAACAACAGCCTCCAGGTCATGTACATGTTCTGGGTACCTAGTGCCACTTAGACAGGAATATACCACAAATGCGATGGCTTGAACAAACAGGAGTTTATTCTCTTATAGTTCAGGAGGCTAAAAGTCCGAGTTCAAAGTGCCAGGCTCTAGGGGCTGTGTGAAAGCCCCTTGACCTTGGGCTTCAGCTCTGGCTCTTGTTCCTGGCCGACTGAAGCTAGAGGCATCTCTTCACTCAGGCAGCTGCTGGCTACCAAAGCTAACAAGGCCAAGGTCAACAAATAAAATGGCACAGTCCTGATGTTACCAAACTACATGGCAAGCCATTCATTCAAATCCATTGAAAGCCCAAAGGTCAGCAGGGCATAGCAGGCTGATGAACAACAACATGGCTACATGCAGGGTTCAAGCATGCCATAAGCTAGAGACCATTTCCAAAGCTTTTTCTTATATACGGGAAGCAGACCACATACTCAAAGCGGCTACTTAGCTGCTCCAATAGATTCCACCATAGAGTTAATTACCAGTCTCACCATGGGGAATAACTACATCCAGCTGCCCAGCCACCCAACCAGGCCCAGCCAACTTGGCACACAAATGTAACCACCACAGTACAGGTTCCTCATGAGTACAATTAAGTGTTCTGAAATTCCCATTCTTCTCAAAGTTATCCATAATTTGTTATGATCCACAAAATTGAATGCTTTTGAGTAGTCAACAAAACATAAGTGAACATCTTTCTGATATTCTTTGCTTTCAGCCAAGATCTATTTGACATCAGCTATGATATCCTCGGAAGGAAGGTTGGGCATTCCTACTTCCGTAGTGATACTGCCTCGGAAACCCAAGGAGGGGTCGCTATGAGTCGGGGCCGACTCGATGGCAAATAACAACAACAACAACAACAACATGATATCCCTTATTACACATCCTCTTCTGAATCCAACTTGCACTTCTGGAAGTTCTCTGTCAATCTACTTCTGCAATCATTTTTGAATTATCATCAGTAAGATTTTACTTGTGTGTCAAATTAATGATAATGTTTGATAATTTCCACATTCTGTGGGATCACCTTTCTTTGGAATGGGTACAAATATGGACCTCTTCTAGCCAGTTAGTCAGGTAGTTGTCTTCCAAATCTCTTGGCATAGCCAAGTGAGTGCCTCCAGTGCAGCATCTGTTTGCTGAAACATCTCAGTGGGTATTCTGTCAATTCCTGGAGTCTTATTTTTCACCACTTCCTTCAGTGCAGCTTTGACTTCTTCCTTCTATGGAAGCAGCACTCAAGAAATCAAATGACTTATTGCATTGGACAAAACTGCTGCAAAAGACCCTTATAAAGTGCTGAAGAGCAAACATGTATCTTTGATAACTAAGGTGCACCTCACAAAAGCCATGGTGCTTTCAATTACCTCATGTGGAAGTGAGAGCTGGACAATGAATAAGGAAGACCGAAGAAGAGTCGATGCTTTTCAGTTGTGGTGTTGGCAAAGAATGCTGAAAGTACCTTGGACTGCCAGGAGAACTAATAAATCTATCCTGGAAGAAGTGCAGCCAGAATGTTCCTTGGAAGCAAGAATGACCAGACTTCATCTCATCTACTTTGGTCATGTTGTCAGAAGAGACTATTCCCTGGAGAAGTATATCATGCTTGGTAAAAGGGAGAGTTAGCAAAAAAGGAGAAGGCCCTCAGTGAGATGGATTTACACAGTGGCTGCAATGATGGGCTCAGGTATAACTAGGATCATGAGCCTTGACAAGGACCGGGCAATGTTTCATTCTGCTGTGCATAGGGTCGCTATGAGTCAGAGACAACTCGACAGCACTTAACAGCAACAACAACACCTCTCTATCATCTATCTTCCTTCCTTCCTCCCTCGCTCTCTCTCCCTCCCTTCCTTCTTTCCTTCCTTCATTTCTGACTTCCTATCTGCCTGTATTCCAGCTAGTTTTGTGTCTGGCTTCTCCTTCTTCCATGCAAGGTTGGATCCTGACTCTGGTCTCTAACCAAAGTCTCAAGTCTGCTCACACCCTTTCTCTGAGCAGCAGGCAGCACAGGTGTGTCCCACCCCCATGGCCTTCACCTCGTTTCCAAGTCTTCTGCCTTCATGAACCCCACTCCCATGATCCCCTCAAAGGAAAGGAAGGAAGTTTGTAACTACCCCTGTCCAGTTAATAAAAGTGACATATTTTAGTGGCCATTGGACATGGGACATCTGGTACCAATGAGATGAAGAGTTGAATCCCTGGTGCCAGCCTCATGGACTCATGGAGGAAGAGTGAGGTTTGTTATTGCATGTTCACACTGGTGTGTCTTGGGCAATGGGGCTGAGTGTCCCCCATAAAGAAGAAAAGAGGAAATCATTTTTGTTGCTAGGAGACTTGAGCAGCAGTGGCTTTGCCATTGGCCGTGGGGACAGAATCCTGCGTGGAGATGAGTGGACTCAAGGGCATGTTGATCTTTGATCCTCAGAAGGAATAGGAGCTTTAGACTCAGGCATTGGCCCTGGAATCATTTGTTCTCCTGTATCCCTGGGAACTTCAGCACCTTCAAGCTCCTCCAGGGCCCAGCTGAGTCAGCCCCAGTGCCCACCCTGCCTACGGAATGGTGATGCTGAGCAACGTGGCCGGGTGGGTGGAGACACTCTGGCAGACATGGACACCTGGGGCACAGGATCATCCTTGACTGGAGTGGGGGTGGGTCCTGAGGAGCTGTTGGGCATCACACTGACCAGGATGACAGACAGACAAGTCCCAGGGAACAAGACGCAAGTACAGGTGTGGTGTGGAGTAGGTGTCCATGCACACTGGGCCATGGGTGGGGACCCATGATTCTCTGTAAAAGGAGTTTATAAATATTCAAATCAGTCATGTGAGCATCTTGTATTATGATCATGTGATCCTGAGGCTGTGGGGACTGACGAGACTGTGACATCACCTGCCTGTAGGGAAAGAGACGCCCCTTCCTGTGCTCATGCTCACAGAGACCCTGACCCAGCCAACGCCCTAGTGCTGCCTGACCCACCATGGCCTCCAGGCTCCTCTGTTGGGCAGCCATCTGCATCCTAGGGTCAGGTGAGTCTACGGATGCCAAGACGCTCCTGTGTGTGTGTGTGTGTGTGTGCACTTGTGTGTCTGCATGGGTGATGTGTGAGTGTGGGTGTGTAGTATGCATGGTGTGTGTGCGTGTGATGTGTGTGTAATGTTTGTGTGGTGAGTATCTGCGTATTTGTGTGTCTGTCTATATCATAATTCCCATCATTTTCTCCATCCTGTTCCCAACATCTGTCTCTACAGGTCACACAGGGGCTGAAGTCACCCAAGAACCCAGGCACAGGGTCACAAAGACAGGGCAGGATGTGGCCCTCAGGTGTCATCCAATTTCTGGTCACAATGCCCTTTACTGGTACCGACAGACCCTGGGGCAGGGCCTGGAGTTTTTGATGTACTTCCAAAACAAGGATGAAGCAGACACGTCAGGAATGCCTAAGGCTCGCTTCTCCACAGAGAGGCCTGATGGGTCGTCCTCCACCCTGAGGATCCAACCCGTGGAGCCAGGGGACTCGGCCGTGTATCTCTGTGCCAGCAGCTTGGCCACAACGCAGCACTGCCACCTCCTTCCTGTACATAAACCACATCTCCCCCTGCCTCCTTGCAGCAACTAGAAGTCCGGACTGGAGGCCTTTCTCTGTCCCCTGCTCCCCTGTAAAAGAGGTAGCCTGGGACATGAACTTCCCTTTGAGTAGGAAGGGAGCAGACCATAGGTTAACCCTTGTAACACTGTGTCTGTAGATGCTGGGTGGATAGAAATAGATGATGCCAATGGTGACTGTCCAGTCCTTTGCTGACCTATATTTACTGGGGTTCCATTGATGTTCTTGTGTGTGGTGGTTGGGGGAGAATTTTTGTATATTTTCTGTAATGGAAGTAACAGTACCTCCATCCACTTCAATTTCTGTGTTTTTCTTCTTATTTTAGATGACATAGAATGTACTTCTGTCCCACATTTTATTCCTTTCTTTTTCAGAGCATGGTTTAAAGGGAAAAATATCCCACTTAGACAATAGGATCAGATGTGCTATAGACATTAAATAGACTGACAGTGGAATATTAAACATGGTAACTCAAAAGAGTAGAGTATTTTAGCCTGCATTCTCTAGAGAAGCAAAGCCAGTAAAATTATATGTGTGTGTGTGTGTAACAGAGAGATTTATTTCAAGGAAATGGCTTATATCTGTGGAGACTGGTATGTTCCAAATTCATGGGTTACGTGTCAGGCTGGAGGCTTCTCCTGAGTCATTTTGTTCTTCATTTTGATGAACTCAAAATCTACAGATCAGGAAAGAGGTTATAGGATTTTCCAAGAACCAGAGATCAGACCATGAGATGAGTGCAGGATCGAGAGAGAAAGTGTGCTCTGTCAGAACATGCACATGGATTGGATGCAGGCCACATCCCCAAGGAAACTCTCCTTCCAACTGATTGGCCACTCACTCCAGATCACAAAATGGAAAGCAATTACCTTATGTCTTCCAGACTACTGAGAATCATGGCCTAGCCAAGTTGACACATAACATTAACCATCACATAGGATTAGGAATAGTTTTGGCACTGGGGTTGTAAAGTTCCAGAAGCAATGGTTATTTAAATTCCTCCCTTAATCTATCCTTGATAGACCCAGAAGTCCCAGAAACCTGCCCTATGCCCACAGGGGCTTGGTAGAGACTTAGTTTACAGTCCCTGGCTGATAATTCCTCTAGCTGATTATCTCCAGATTGAAGGCTGCCATCTGTTGCACCTGCTTCCCTGGGTGGTTTGCTTCTTTGTGGGTTGATAGTTCGTGATCAACAGTTTTTTTTTTTTTTTTTCCTCCAGGGAGTTTTTGTTTAATGGGGGCATTGATAATACAGTGGCAGAATTCTCACCTTCCATGCAGACCTGGGTTCAATTCCCAATCAATGCACCTCAAGTTCAGCCATCACTGGTGTATCAGTGGAGGCTTCCGGGTTGCTATGATGCGTAGAAGTTTCAGCAGAGTTTCCAGACTAAGAGAGACTAGGAAGAAAGGCCTGGTGATCTCCTGAAAATGAGCCAGTGAAAGCCCTAAGGTTGGCAACAGCCCAGTCCAACCCAAACTCATCTTGGGGTCTATTGTGTATGGGGCTGACATGAGTCAGGGGCCAACTAGACAGCAGCTAACAGCAATAACAACAACCATGACCACCACCCAATAATCCATCCCTCCTTGGATTTCTGAGGCAGGGTCACTATGGAAGTAGATAGCCTAATCTTCCTTCCAAGGAGTGGCTGGTGGGTTTGGACCACCAGCCTTCTAGTTAGCAGTCAAAAGCCTTAGGCACTACAACACCAGAGCTCCTAGTCCTAAGGTTTAGGTGACTTTATGTAACAGTTTTAGACTTGGAAAATCTCAGATCACTTGGGGGATTGAAAAGCTGTTTGACAGACCCCTCCTTTGCTTGTCACCCTTGAAAAGAATATAAGTGACACATTTCAGAGTGAGAGCTACTGCCCCTGTCTCACTCAGATGCCCAGGTTACTCAAAACTGATGGAATAGCATGAAGTGTTCTTGGCATTCTCTCTCTCTCACTCTCTCTCTCTTTCACACACATACACACACACACACACACTCACACTGGGGTTCCCACTGCCCCACAATCTGAGCTTCTATTGCTGGCAGGTTGGGTGGAGCCTTGGGGTCTCTGTGAGGCAGCTCCCGCCCAGTTGAGATGAGGTCTCCAGAAAGGTGTCCACCTGCAGGGCAGCTGCTCTCTGTGCACAGGGGCTGCTGGCTGTGCAGCGCTGTGGCTAAGCTCCTGGCACAGAGGTACTAGGAGGTCTCACTGGGGACTGTGACTCCAGAGTCGGGCAGAATCACTGGCTTTCACTGCAGTACACCTAGTATCCATCCTGGGCATCTCCTTAGACAGTGCTGCCAATGCCCTTTGAGCAATGGATCAACATCAGGCCCTGCCCTAGGTCTTGTTGATACCAGAATATTATAAAATGGTCCATGTCCTGAGAACACTCCAGAGTGTGTTCTTCC